AGCCAGAGTAAGTAGATGGATCTTGTGGGCAGGAAACACTTCCTCCTCTGGACAGCACTAAATGTGCCCCATCCCATGTGGAGAAACAGGATGATGCTCTACTTCTAGTGTCTTCATTTTCCCTCCAGGACTCTGTCCTTCGTGCATACCTTACTACTAATTTACATGGATGAATTGGAAAATACCAAGCAGGCATGTCTTTTGTTTTATTTTGCAAACCCTTGTTAATTATTGTCAGTTGTTTCCAAAATGCAAAAAAGCATTAGACTGTTGGAATACTGCATTTCTGACTTTTTCCTAGCTAGGGAAGCACCATAAGGAAGAGACTAAGAGCATATGTGGGGAGTGAGGGCATGCAGGAGGAAATAAAGTGGAATCTCTATTAGCAAACTGACTACACTGATGACCAGGCTAACCAGGCAGACCAGTTACCGATTTTGTAAGTCTCATCTCTGAAAGGAAAGAGGTGTCTTTCAGCTATTCTGCATCACAATAGCCTTGTGTATAGAGAAGGTATTCTTACTTGATTGATAGTGGGGAAGTATGAAGACTTTATAAGGGGTATACGAAGGTCATCTGATTTTTATTGTGGAATCAGCATCTGAAATCAGAGCACATAACTCTGTCTAGCATTCTTTCATAATAAAAGTGGAAATGGGGAATTGGTAGTGGTCATAGCTTTCTGGTTGTTTCCAAGGAGCCATTAAATTTAAGTAATGCTCAGAGAAGAGGGGAAACAGCTTGTAGAACATTAAGCCCAACTAGACAAGCCTAGCAAAGGGAGTAAGTTTTCTTTAGGGAATAAAAACTGATTCCATAAGAAGGGGGGGAAAACTAGGCAAAATGAGATAAATTAGCTAAGTGAATATGATGTGTCTACCATATGCAATGCAGTCTTACACGTCGAATAAAATGATCACAATGGAAATTTTAATGTTTCTAACATGACTCACTGGTAGATTCCACATCATTATAGTTACCTCTTTAAAGTGTTTCTTAACAGAACTAGTCCTTTTGATAAATCAGGGATTTATGCAGGGTCACAGGGAGAATAGTAATTACAGTTGTCACAACTCCATAAAAATAGGTGTTGCCTGCCTGTCTTTGTCTGAAACTTTAGCAGTGATTCTAATAATTTGATACTTGAATTTGCATGTGAGAAGAATCCTGGGGACATGTTCACAGTGAGAGATGCAATACACAGAGCTTGCCTGAAGTCTACCTTCTATATTAATTAGGTTAGATCTTAGGAGTGGATGATCTTCTGACTCCTAGTATTTAAGTGCTGTTGCTTGGCTGGTCTTTTGGGCTTTGTGGTCAGCAAAGATAGATTTAATTTAAAAATCAGAACAGGGAGGTTAAGGTGAAAACATAGAGAAGTAAAACAGGAAAAATGGCCTACCCCCCCCCGCGAAACTTGTCTTGGTTTCTACTTAGGAGCACTGTTATACCCATGACTTTCAGAACATTTTTTTCCCAGAGCCAATTAGAAAAGTTCAGGGGTACCTGGGTGGCTCAGCCGGTTAAGAGTCTGAGTTTTGGTTTCGGCTCAGGTTGGTGATCTCAGGGCTCTGAGATCCAGTAGCGGCATCAGGCTTCACGCTCAGCAGGGAGTCTTTTGAAGATTTCCTCCCTCTGCCCCTCCCCCCATTCGTGTGCACGCTCTCCTCTTTTTCTCTCTCTCAAATAAAATAAAAATAAGTCTTTTAAAAAAAAGGTTCAGGGTGTAAAATCGGGAAGGGTTAAAAGTTAAGATTTTACTGTTAGTGAGATATTTTACTTCTAAAAGGATGAGAAGACAATAGTTTGGCTGGTTTAACTAGGTGAGAAGGAAGATAAAAATAGCAGTGGTCATTTATGTCATTGTGGTAACATACAGGAAAAGGACTGAGTCCTTAGTTTAAAAACGTTGTAAGCTTTTCTTTTAAAGAGAAGCTTTTCCAGCTTCATCCTGGCAGCTCTTCAAATACAATCACAAAGGAGCAAGACACTATAAACAACAGTCTCCCCCCCCCCCCCCCCCCCACCCCAAGAAAAGCACTGCATAGACAAGCAGGCGCTCATGGCCAAGGCTGTGAAGGCAGCAGGAAGGGTAGCTCCTGAGGCCCTGGAGCTGCGGCAAAGCTGACAGACAAGTGTGGGCCCCAGAAAGAGGGACAGGTGGACCAACACTGGCAGTTGTCCCCAGATGCTGGTATATTGGCAAGACAAACAGTAGCACAGGACTGACTGACTACTTTTAGCCCCCTATTTGAAGGGGAATTAAGATCTTTTGGAGCTAAGAGAGTCTTGTGTGCAGAAAGGCTCTCCCTGTGGGAGGAGAGGGACCCTTGTCTTCACAAAATACAAGCAAATGCCTATCACTGCTTCTCTTTCATCTTAAGCACTGTGATTCCTTCTCTCATGTCTTTTTCCTTCACCTTCAACCCTCCTCTTTGAGATGACATGTACGATTCTTTTTGTTCTCTTAACTCCTAGCTTGTTTTTTGGGTAGGACTGTGTCTTGGTCGAACTATGGCAATTTTCCTCATTTGGACAGAGTAATAGCTGCAAAACTGAGGAAACTGGGATCTCGGTTCTGCCTCAGATGTCAGATTGTATATCCTCAGCGAATGGGGAGAACATTGAGGCCACCAAGCTCCCTCCTACTGGGATATAGAGGAAATGAAAAAGAGCCCAGATCACTCCTTAGAGCTAATTAACTAGCTGACTTTGGAGGAGGCCATTTCCCTGGCAGTGAAGAAACCTTGGTTGGAGGCAGAACTAAAGTGATGGAAGAGGGATTGTCAAAGGAAATAGATAATGTGTATCCTGATCATCAGGTCTCCGTTCTCCTTAAGCTGGGTTGGGCTTTAACTTTATAGTCCACACTCTCAAAATAAAAATGTAAAAATAAGAAACCAAACAAGCCGGGCTGTGTAAGTCTCACTTCGTTGGCTTCTGGAACTCTTTCCTTCTAAAACAGGAAAATCATGGGTAGCATGATACTCATTTATGTCATCTTTTTTTACTTCAGGGTAATGATCCCAAAGGTGATGCCCCTGAAGGGCATCTAAAGGAGATACATCTCCATGGCTTTCATGTGCTTGGCTGTCTTTATCTTTCTGCCTGATTCTTTCCACTTTCTGCTTGAGTCTGTATTGCCTTTTACAGTATATGACTTTTGTTTGCCCCATGGAAGGTTTGGCTTACAGTGACTGATAGGTCATCTGCCTGTTCACTTCACCCCTTGGATTAAAGAGTTTAGCCTCATAACATGGCTAATATTGTGGGATGAGTAGAATACCAGAGGAATCAATCCCTTCTTGCAGTTTTTCTCTCACTAGAGAATGTAGTTTTATAGCCTAGAAATCTGTGCTTTTTGGGCAGGTCCTCCTGTATTCCTCGCTGCCTTTCACAAGCCTGGAATCGTCCTTTCGCACCATTATCCTTGGGGACAGAGTTAGATTGAAAACCTCAGTTTGAGAAATCTGTGACCCTAATTATGTTTTGATTCACTATTACTTAAAATAACTGAGCTCCAGTTATCTGTTGGGCATCACACTAGGCAGAGGATCAGCCACAACCCAAGTCCTCTGGACCTGCTGGGCCTCTTGCTCAGTCTTCATAGATGCAGGCAGAACAGTGTCTTTCTTCAATCCTAGTCTACCCCTCAACCCCCACCCTCAGAGCTCCGCTTCATGGCGAGTGTGGTTTCCCTGCAACTGCCGAGGCATCCTCATGTATAGGCCCTTTCTCTAGTCTCGACCATGTTTCGGTGTGTTCCTGGCAGTGTTCCCTGCCGCCTACCCAGTATGTAGCTGCCTACTGTTGGGCAGTAGCTCACTGCTCTGGCATCCTAATGTGTAAATATTTGTCAAAGGACAGGGGCGTTTTCCCATTCCCCAAAAAGCATTCTGAAAAATGTGCCTGTTTTCGTAGTCATATTTCCAGGCTGTGGATCAGTTAGCCCATTCATTCCTTGCAGTTGACAGACACTGGCCTGGCCTCAGCCGGCCACATGAAGTAAGTATGCGGTAACTTCCGGCCCAGTAACTTTTAAGCTTTAGTAGGAAGGAGTCCCAGACCTAAAGGGAACCATAGTCAACATAGTCACTATTAGAGAAGACATTGTTTCGTCAACAGGAGGAATCCCGTGTCTTCCGTGTCAAGTGTTTAAATTTCTTACACTCATACTTGATATTGGAGGCATATATGGAATCAACAAAAATGAGAAAGCTAGCCATATGGATTCTGGAGGAAAACTTGACTCTTCATGTTTGTGACTGGACTTTCAGGTCTCATGTCATGTAGGTTTTTATACAACATCCATTTCTGCCTCTGCAGAGGTGACAGTGCTGAGCTACTAGTTAGTTGAAAGGTGTTTTTTCTAGTACAGTTGATGGTTTATCCTGTCACTCAGTTCTACTTGAGACCAGAGCCGGTCATCAATGCACGCCAACTTATTAGGCTGAAAAGGCGGTCTTTAGTCATGGAACAGTTTTCTGTCTGTGCACAACCAGGTGACCCACATGTAAGAACTGAACTGTTGGTCTTCGCTTTATTACACTAGACTGTGAGCTCAGGACATATTTCAGTTGCTCACCCAGTCCCAGTAGATTAAAGTACCTCTAATGTGTCTGTCAAACTGCTTGGCTCCTTCCTTTCCTTTTCTCTAAGTCGTGCCTTCTAGCACCCCTTCCTCCTCCTCCTTATTTTTGGACCTAATCCTTAGTCTTCTACAGATCAGACTAGCATGCACCCATATGGATCCTCAACCCCATAAGATATCTGTAGAGTTAGAGCTAGAACTATATCAGCTTTTTCTGTTTTCACTGTCTATAAGCACCTCAAGCCTCCAGAACTTGATGTAGGGGCATGAGGCTTTGGGGTGTGGAAATCTTAACTGATAAGGAAACAATAACATATGCTGTGCAACACAGCAACTGCTTTTCCTTCATACGACACAACTCTTTTGGAAGGACTGAGTATCTTTTAATACATTTAATTTCTTCCCACAGATAATCAATTTCTACATGAATATGTTGATGGAGCGAAGTAAAGAGAAGGGATTGCCAAGTGTGCATGCATTTAATACCTTTTTTTTCACTAAGTTAAAAACGGCTGGTTATCAGGCAGTGAAACGTTGGACAAAGAAAGTGGATGTATTTTCTGTTGACATTCTTTTGGTGCCCATTCACCTGGGAGTGCACTGGTGTCTTGCTGTGAGTACCTCTCTTACTTTTAATCAAATTTAAAAGAAATTCTACAGAATCATAGACTATACAGAGTAGTGAGTAGTAATTCTACATTTTCACTGGGTGATTGTGAGAAAGAATAGTATTTCTTTGGCTAAAAATTGGATAGATCAGTGAACTTCCTGTCAAGAGTGGGAGATACTTAGACTTTGAAGAAAGTTGTGGAATTTCCTTTCTGGAAATATTTAGAAGGGAGCTGTAAGGCTAAACAGTCTCAAGGCAAGGCATGCGGTGAAAAAGTGACTTCTTAATGATCCTGCCAACTCAGATTCTGTGACTTATTTTCTGCCCAATTATGATTTGCCTTGCATACTTGATAGTTTAATATTTTTTATGACTCTTTGAGAACATGGATACATTCATTTAATATATTAATAAAAAATATAAAAGTTCTCTCACAATCTATTTTGAATTACATTTGAAAAGCATAAAGCCAAAGAGAAATTCTCCACATAAAGAAACAAAATGCGGACTATTTTGCCATCTTTCTAAAACCCTGTGGAAATGATCTCGTTCATCTTACAGTCTCTGAAGAGCATGTGTGTCTTCACTGTTGCCCGCATGGCAGATGGAGAACCTAAATACTAGAAAAAGATTTCAGGGCCATTAATGAGGCCACGATAGTACTATGTAAATAAACCCCTTTTTCTTTCCTCTGCAGTTTAAGCATGGTATAATGCAAAGTATCAGTCAAACTTGTCATGATTTCACAGGGAATCTGGCAAAAGGTTCCAAGTTTGGGGCGCCTGGGTGGCTCAGTCGTTAAGCGTCTGCCTTCGGCTCAGGTCATGATCCCAGGGTCTTGGGATTGAGCCCTCCATTGGGCTCCCTGCTCCAAGGGAAGCCTGCTTCTCCCTCTCCCACTCCCCCTGCTTGTGTTTCCTCTCTCGCTGTCTCTCTCTGTCAAATAAATAAATAAAATTTAAAAAAAAAAAGTTTCCAAGTTCCAGGGAAGTGAAAGCTGAGAAACTATTTTTCTTATTTTATGAACACACAGATTTTTTTTTATTCCCAGGTTGTGGACTTTCGAAAGAAGAATATTACCTATTACGACTCTATGGGTGGGATAAACAATGAAGCCTGCAGGATCCTCCTGTAAGTAGGGAGTTGAGAACAAAAGAGTTTGGTGTTGGGTGTATATTGTGTTCTTTGATACCTTTAGTGGAGTGATTATGATTAATAAAGGAAATCTTCACACTGAGGTAAGAGTGGATATTTTATGTCTGAGTAAGTAAAGTTTAATAATAATATAATAATACCAGAAAGATGCCCTCATGGGGACAACTGTTGTCCCAGTGCACTAAAATAACGAATGAGTCAATATGTACATATAATATAGAAACTACTTAGAAGTCATCTAATCCAACCTCCCTAATTTTTCAGCTGAAGGACCCAAGACCCACAGAGATGACTTTGATATGCTCAGGTCCTACTAGTTAGTGGCTCAACTGGGAACCAGAATGCAAATCTCCTTATACCCCAACTGTTTGTCTTTCCAAAATGCCTATTCCTCACTGTACCACTATACCATTCGGGTGGCCAGGAGGAGGTGAACAGTTTGCACTTAAGAAGAGTGCTCTGTATGAGGTATGCACTCATCAAATTGTGATTTGGATTGAATTTTCACACAGGACAATCAAGACTATAAATAGTGAATAACTGCCTTGATATTGCTAGAGAAACCTTCTTCCATGCGGTCGAGTTCTGAAGGACCATATAAACCAAGGAAAAGAATCAAACCTCATTCCTCAGGAGGAACAATAGGTAGAAGGAACCTGGGTGTCAGAGGCAGAGGTCCTGTTTCTCTTGGGTTGACAGGGTGGGCATGAATTATGGGAGCTGCAGGGGGAAGCTTAGCAGTCCAAAGATTTCCCCACCCAGCATTATATACTGTTTTCCTCAGAAGTGCAGATGAAAACCATTCCTAAGGATTGTTAACCTCATTCTTAGGGTGGCAGCTGTCATCAGTGCCCCCACAGCTCATCTCCTTCTCTCCTAATACCTTTAGGCAATACCTGAAACAAGAAAGCATTGATAAGAAAAGGAAAGAGTTTGACACCAATGGCTGGCAGCTCTTCAGCAAGAAAAGCCAGGTACATTTCATCTCATCAGGTGGAAATCCTGATATTAGGGTATTGGAGAAGGATAGGGTTTTATTGCTTGATTCCCAGGGACCTTCTTAGTGTCTAGCCTGACTTCAGCTTGGTTGTTTGGTTCCTCAGAGGAAGAAAGAGTAAGCTCTGGCTGTGGGAAAACTGGTCATGTGTTTCTTAGGTAGAACTAGGTTTTCTGAGTGCCCAGCTGTTTTACTGAGCTTTTCACTCCTGTGGGAAATGGTTGCTGATTGGCCCTTATGGGAGGGACTTGTCTTTATATCTTTAGGTGTCATGGAAGTCTAAGATAGTCTCCTGATAATGAAGATTAATATTAATATGAAGACCTGACTGAGATGCTGTATTTGTTTTCTCTGAGCCTGTGTTCTGGGGTGAGGGACTTAGGGTCACCTCTTCAAAATTCAGGGAAACCTGTAACATTTATATCCTTTGGTTCTCATTTATAATCTAGTATGAAGGAAGGAAGCTTGGAAAGATGTTACCATTTTGTTATTTTTGGTCTTTCAGGAAATTCCACAGCAGATGAATGGAAGTGACTGTGGCATGTTTGCTTGCAAATATGCTGACTGCATTACCAAAGACAGACCAATCAACTTCACACAGGTGAGCTGAGCCTTCAGGAAGGAGCCCTGGGACCACCCTGTCTCTAGGCTGCCCGATAGATGTTTTTTCCTCCACCTGTTCTGCCTAGTGAACTCTGCCTATGGTCCATAACACTGGTGGTTACCATGTAGACCACATCACAAGAAAAAGAAGGATAGTGATAGGCCACATGCTGGGTTCCCTTACATCACATGCTACAGTCAAGGAATCCTGGTCATTAACAGAGCCTTCTTCTCTGCCCCTCTCCCCCCATCTACCTCAAATCCTATAAGAAACAGAACTGGGACCAGAGCAAGTTTTCTTCATTTTCTCTTCATCTGGTTAGCAGTCAGGTTTTGGAACAGGCTACACCTTGAACTCCTAGTATAATTTGTCATGCTGCCCTGCTCCCCTGCCCCTCACTTGATGCAGCTCATCAGTCTCCTCTTAGTTTGTGATTGTTTATTTCTGTCCATGTGGTCCTTCAGAGACCAAAGTGGATTGAGACTGGAGATTATGGTTTGTGTCCTGTACTTTAAATTAATGGCTTTACCAGACTTTTCCACCATAGCCCTTGGGTGGAGCTGACTCTTTTGCAGTTCCGTAACTCTTCCCCTAAAAAGTAAGTTTTAAGTTTTTGATTTTCAGGCCTTAGATCTCCTGTCGTTTTAAAAGTTCAACATAGAGGACTTGATGGACACCATCCTCAAAATTCTTGGAGACATTTGGGTGTAGCCTGGGGACTCCTGGTGATGCCCAATAATGTTTGTAAGGCTACAACAAGAGAAAATAGCAGTAGAGATAGCACTAGAAAAAAATTACATGTAATCAAGAATTGATCAATTTGAAAGACCGGAAATGCAACTGAAGCTATTTTAATTGAAAACCTTGAGAAGGGAAGGAGTGATGGGTCTGGATAAAAGCAATGAAAAAATTAAGGGTATCTCTGTGTCCCTACAGCAACACATGCCATACTTCCGGAAGCGGATGGTCTGGGAGATTCTCCACCGAAAGCTTTTGTGAAGACTGTCTCAGTTAGCCGACACTGACCTTGTGGGGGACCAGCTCTTTGTTGTCTACAGCCAGAGACCTTGGAAACAGCTGCTCCCACCCCTCTGTTCTTGTAAAGCCCTTGATCCTGGACCAGGCCCTGGCGAGATGCATTCACAAGCACATCTGCCTTTCCTTTTGTATCTCAGATACTATTTTTGCAAAGAAACTTTGGTGCTGTGAAAGGGGTGAGGGACATCCCTAAGCTGAAGAGAGAGACTGCTTTTCACTTCTTCAGTTCTGCCATCTTGTTTTCAAAGGGCTCCAGCCTCACTCAGTCCCTAATTCTGGGGCCGAGAGAAGCTTGGACAGACTCTTGGTTTCACATAAACTCTTGTTGTTAGGCCTTACTAAGAGGTAGGAAAGGGCATGGGCAAAAAGGTAGGGATGAAAACCACCAGCATATACACTCACACATACACGCAGGATTTTCACGATGTGTTGTCAGGAAAGTGACTGTAAACTGGACTTGGGGTCACACGCTTAAGTCCCTTCTCCAGGACTTCCCTATTTATATGCCTCTTTGTGAGATCCATCTGCTTCTGTACAAGGCTGTTTTGTCATCTGTAGCTTCCTCCCAGCCTGAGGCACAACACATGAGCCCGGGGGGGGGACCCCAAAGTCCCAGGCAGGCCTTTCCTTAAAGCAGGGGTTTGCATGTGCTCACAACACATGACACAGAGAAGACCCACCCAGGGAGCAGTTCAGTGGGGCAACAAAGGCACCACTTTTACTGCCGCCGACTTCTGACCAAGAAGAAGGACCTCAGTCTTTAGCGTAAAATTCCAGCATGGGATGAATGCAGGTCTAGTTTGGTCTGTGGCTAGTTAGTCTAAATAGGTTTCTACCCACAGAAAATTTAATATATATATATAAATATATATATATTTCACAGGGATATGTGTTTTTTTAAAAGGCTGAATGTGTTCACCACTTTAGCCTGTAGATTTATTTCCTTTTTCCAACTTTAGCTCTAGCACGCACAGATCCCAGCCCTTATGTGTAGGGTGTTTGTGGACTTCCTAACAATATTTTGAGGCCTGGATGAACTTTGGCTTAGGGGTCAAGGTTTCAGAGGGAGGCAAAGATTTTCAACTGGAAAACGGGTGGAATTTGGACTGATCAACTTGAGACTAAAAAAATGCTATTCCTTTTGTTCTTTCTAGCATCTCCCCCGCCCTCTGAGCGCTCCTCAGGCTAGATAGTGGAACGATCCAATGCCAGTGTCATTTTGTACTTAAGTTCCAAAATAGGAACGTTTTATACTTTTTTCTGTATTGTAATAGGTAGTTTTGTATGAAATATTTTCTCTTCTTCCCTTGTACCCCATCCTTTCCAACATTGTGCTTTCTCTCTGGGCTTATTTGAAAATTTTACTCTGTTTTATACCAAGCTTGTTTAGTACATTTTTCTATGTTTTACCACAGGTTACAATTTGAAAAGAAAACTATTTTTTTTAAATATTCCATTGTTAACTGAATGTTACTGTTTCCACTCCAGCAACCAGATGTCCTACCTTTTTCATAACTGCCTGCCTTTTTGGGGAAGACCACCATTCGTTCGTTTGTTCTTTCTTTTCTTTTCTTTCTTTCTTTCTTTCTTTCTTCCTTCCTTCCTTCCTTCCTTTCCTTCCTTTCCTTCCTTTCCTTCCTTTCCTTCCTTTCCTTCCTTTCCTTCCTTTCCTTCCTTTCCTTTCCTTCCTTTCCTTCCTTTCCTTCCTTCCTTCCTTCCTTCCTTCCTTCTTTCCTTTCTTTTCTTTTCTTTCTTTCTTTTTCTTTCTTTTTTCTTTCTTTCTTGTGTTTTTCTATAGGAAATAAATAGCTTTCTATTTATGAGTTGCTGAGACCTTTCACATTCTCTTTTAGAAAGCTACAGTGTGCAGGCTCATTGTATGACTCCTGCACATGGATTCTTGGTACTTAATGTATTTCAGTGACAAATGGAAAGGTGGCAGTATGGCATAGATTTGGACTATGAGTCAAAAGACCTGAGTTTTTCAGGTGCTCTTGCTATTATCTGGGGGGACTCAGAACAAGATAGGTGTCTGTATTTATTGTTTGTCCATTTAGATAACAACATCTGTCTTACCTTCCTCACAGACTTTTTGTACAGACCAAAGCAACAGATATTTATTGCCATGTATAACAGAAAATGAAACATGCAACAAAAGCACTTTGAAAAATATATAAGGAATTGTTGAGCCTGTCTGAACGTGGACCCCCTTTCTGACCAGTGCATTTATGTACAAGGCGAAGTTAGTGATCCTAAGACCACCTTACATGGGTGGACCAAGCTGAGACATAGGTTGTAGCCCAGGGTGGCTCAGTGGGAACCAAGTATAGACATCTGTAGTGGGCCATTTTTCCAGAGAACTAGCCAACAAATTTAGGACTAGCATCTGGGAACTTAGTTTCTCCTTCATTTAAGGGTGGGTTTTGATGACCAGGGAGGGGAGAGGAGGTTCCCGCATTCCATGGCCAAGGGCATGCTACCATATAATATCTTAGTTAAACTGCTTTAAACTAAAGCCTCTTGCCTGCCTTTTCTCCTGTTTTTCCTTCTTCCCTGTGTTCAGTGCTCATAATCACTTACCTCCCCTTAAAAAGTAACACTTGAGGGATGATGAACTCTATCTAGATACAGAGCCTTCAACAGGAACTACAGTCCCGCCAATCACTCCTGGACCCTGTATGGAGAAAATCAGAACATTTGAGAATACATGGTCCAAGGCATGGAGGTTAGTTCTGTCCCATTGGTTGCTGGGGATCCACTGTTGCTCCTGGGAGTCCTGTTTGGGGTTGGATGTAAGAGTACTTTTCCCTCTTCCTCATGGAGACATTGTGGAAATTGACTCCTTTATATATGAGGTGCTTCATACTTCTCTGTGGTATCAACTCTTCTCTTCTTTAGCTCCTGTAATTGTGCCAGCACCTTCTACCCACTGCCCCTAGCAATGTTAGCCCCAAGTTTTAGTGCCCTGGGGCAGAAACACATGACCTGAAAAAGTACTGCCAGCAGCCCCATCGCGTAGTCTGTCCATCACCACCTGGTTTTACGTGGCCTATAAAAGGCGTAAGGAGAGGGAAGGGATTCACTTAAGAACCCCAGTGTTTTTATGTTTCAGCCTCTGGTCCTTCTGTGCCATCCCTCCAGTTCTCAAATATGTCTTCCCAGAGTAAGAGAGAGAGACGACTGACACTTGGACTTTGTCTTCTCCCTTGCTCCGCCTGGATGGGCCAGGGCGAGGTGCAGTATAGACCCTTAGGCCCTGTCGTTGACTCAGACAGGCTACATGCTGAGCTCCTGGGAAAGTCACCATATTTCCCTGCCCAGAAGGAACCTACCCATAGCTTTGAATTCATCCTAAAATGTAAGGCTCAGTCGAGCATCTTTCCTTAGAACCCGGAGCCTTATTTCACCTTTGCTGAATCCTGACCTCTGTTAAGAGGCCATGACTATCATTCCCAGCTTTGGAGGTGAGGAGGGACATAAGGGTATATGGGGTCATGCTGGTCACCCACTAAGATAAGGGGGAACTTACACATGAATCCCCTGTGGGATTGAAGACTTTGAGCCAGAAGATAAACCTTGAAATAATATTAGTACAGACTGCCTCTCTGGGCTGTCAGGGATAGGGCAAGAATAATTCTCACTGTGAGTGATTGGACTAGATACCTAGGGTCTTGTCAGAGTCTAAGATTCTGAAATGTGGAGGGCCATAATCCTGCTTGGAATAGAATTCAGTCAAGGTAGTGATTCAAAATTCAAGTTTAAGGCCAGTGTTAATATGGCTTGGTCTTACAATTAAGGCCCAGGTCAGAGTCTTACCCTAATGGGACAGACCATAGCTGTTGACTTCTCCTTTCTCAGCTGACAAGTAGCCATCAACTGCTTGACTCCTGGAGATTGTCCTTCCACTCTGCAGAACATCAATGTCCAGAAGGGAAAGTGTTGGAAAGAGATGTAGAAGGAGCCCAGAGTCTTCAGTCTGCTGGGCACACCTCATTCAGTTTACTCCTGGTTCGTTCTTAAGTACCTACAGAGCACACACACCCAAATCTCATCTCCCTGAAGCCTTCCCTGATCACATTATCTTAAAATCTCTTATCTGGACAGCTGTAGCCCTTATAATCAGAAAATGTTACAACTCCATGTTTGTAATCTGTCTTTTACATCAGGAGTGGACTAAGACCTGTAGTCACAGAGAGCAGGTGAATGATTTGGTGCTTTTTCTTCAAGCCAGGAGTACAAGCTGCTTCTCTGGCCGGCCAGTGAGGAGTAGGGGTAACTGCATTAAACGTTGATTGAGAAGACAGCATTTCAAGGGTTGGGGAAGGAGGACTGCTTATGGCCGCCTGCAGTGGGGCTGCACCTCCTTCGTGGTCCCAAACCTAATGCCCCACTCTGCCCTTAAATATCTTCCTTGGCAGTTTAGCATGCCCTTCCCGGGCCTCGGTCTCTGTCCCAAGGAGCTAATCATAGTTTTTTTTTTTTTTTCTAACCACACACCTTTCTAGTCTTCTCCAGCTTTTTCATGTCCGGTGCTGTTGTAGATTGAGACTGAGTCCCTTTCTGCCTTGTCATTTAAATGGACCATTTTACGTGCTGCCTGTGTCTTGTCTGTTGGTCAGAGCTAAGTTCCTGGAGGGCATTTGCCTCATCTGATATTCTGGGGAACCCCTTACACTGGGTGTTTAATAAGCATGTGTTTAAGCACTGGCCTTGGGTGGAGTGAAAAAGATGTTTTGACCAAGGAAATAAAAGCCACCTGTCCTCAAGGACCTTAGAGTCTAACTAATTTGGAGGCTAGGCAGACAGCAAGTAAGGGACCTTATCAAGAAGGCCGACTCCTGGCGCACACTCCAGTTAGATGCTGGATGTGTTTGATGGAGGGACAGAGGTGGAGATAAGTCAGGGATGATGTTGCGGTTTATCTACCTGTGTGTAACTCTCTCCCTAGTTCTTAAAAGTTGATTTATTTAAAATAAATTCTGTGGATTTTGCTTTCTTGCTTTGACTGGAAACTCCCTGGTAAAAAAGGACTTGGTGGTGTTTGTCTCTCCAAGACTGTCTCTCTGTCTCTTTGACTGTTTATTCTGTCTCTGTGTCTATGTCTCCTGATCCAAGTGGGACCAGTGATTGGGTCCTCAGTGTGGTCTGGATTCCTGAGTCCACCCCTTAACCAAGAGCCTGAATACTGTTCATTCATTCATTTCATTCCGCATACCTGGAATTGAAGCCTGGAACGCAAATAACATGCAAATCCATCGCTCCCTGGCACTTTTTAAAACCAGACCTGTCTGTGGAGCTGGCCAGAGGGCCCTCCTGAGCCAAACACACCAGCCAGGACTTCCAGCCCACTCTACTGACAGCATCCCTTGTCTCCTTGCCCCTCTCCTGCACCCCTTCCTCCTCACAATCTAACCTCTCTACTTGTAAAGCTCACACTCCAGAGAATAAAACATAAGAAAGCGCCAGCTTCTGAAAGATCTTCCGCTATGTTGGTGAAATGGTTTTATCTGTGTGAGTTAGAAGAGTCCCTTGTAGTCTCCAGGACATTCTTGAGTTCTAATATTTTTCTAGGCATGGTTAAGATTTTTTCGGCCATTTGAAAATGGTTGGAATGAGGAGGGAAGCCTTCAAGCCATTCTTGTTTTCTGATGACTGAATGTGGTTAAAGATAGCTGATGATTGCCTGGATCTGCATGTCCATCACTGAACAGGGACAAGACTCCCTCCAAGTGGGACCTGGACTGGATTGTGAGTTAGAGTCAGCCTCCGTCCCCGACTGCTCCTGGGGGGCCTGGTGTGGTTCTGCACTGCAGAAAGTTACCAAGGGCCCGGGGGCGGAGGGGGAAGGCGGGGAGGCTTGTCCTGTTCCTCAAGGAATCCATGTTCCAGACACTCTTCTGAACTCCAGGAAGACTGTTTTGCTTCCTTGTGTACCTGTGCCCCCTTTCCCATCAGCCCATCACCGGCCAGTGATCTCTGCCTACAATGGCCTACGGGGCCCTGCACCTCCAACAACTTCCCTTCCCACTCAGCCCAGGCTCACTGGTCTCGGCTACACAGGCCTTCTTGGTGTTTGTGTAACAAACCAAACTTGCTTCCATCTCATGGGGGTTCTACTTCCTGTTTCCTGTGTCTGGAGGGCTTTTCCCCGGATCTCCTCCTGACCCACTCCCTCACCACCTCCAGGCTCTGGTGCGGTGTCACCCCCACACTTCAATTCTCACGCTCCCTAGCTCCGTTACCTTCATTTCTTCTCTGTAGCATTTCATATCTGACTATATTATTTATGATGTGGGAAATAAGAAACAAATCTCCTTACTACTTACAGCCTATTGACAAGTCCTTGAAACAGGCAGAGTGACCTTCCTCTGGGAGCTCAGTTGCCTCGATCTTGACACTTTGCTAAAGGGCAAAAAGCAATCAGCCCGACTCCTCAGGATCCTGTGAGTCTACTTCAACATAAAAAAATTGCTTTGGAAACTTCCTTTATCTCTACCCCACAAGATATGTGTTAGCAATCATTCTCCAAGCATATGGCCCACTGATAGACTTCTGAAGGGTCTTGTACGACTGAGTTTTTACGAAACAGTAATAAATGACCTTTTCCTAACAGTAGCTAGCCGCCCCCAGGATCCCAGAAACCTTGTTTCCAAAATACCGTGGAGGCTTGTGCTGTCCCTAGCCCCCTCCCAACTTGAAAGTCTGTAATCAGTCACCTGTCACAACCCCAGTGCTGCTCCTTATGCCCAAGGGTCCTGCCCCTGTGCTTTCATAAAACCACCTTTTTTGCACCAAAGACGTCTAATGCTTTCTTGGCCATCAGCTCTGAACCCCAACATCTCTACAGCAATTGACTCATGTGTTTTGTCTGTCTCTCACTAAAATTCTGTTCATTCTGTGTCCCAGGTGCCTACGGTTCCCTTTTTGCCAGCACCGCCCCCCCACCGATCCAAGTCCTCACCTCGTGTCTGCTTTACGCTGTGTCCCACCCAGGGTCCTTGACTTCAAGTGCATCATCCACTTAGCAGTTAGAGCTGTCTTCCTCCAATAATATTAACAATAAGAATAAGCATTTATTGAGGCCCTGTTCCCAGCCTTTTGTGCCAAACACTTTATATACATGATCTCATTTAGTCCTCACAAGTGTCTGATGTAGGTACTATTCCTTATCCCCATTTCTCAGATGAGAAAAACGAGCTTAGGGATTGAATAAGTTAGTCCAAAGTCTCAGACTGTCAGTGATAGGAACAGGGACTCCAAGCCAAGAACATTTGTCTCCAAAGCCCCTAAAAGCCCCATGAGCTACTGCTTGCACACAGCCAGCATTGTTTCATCTTGAGACAGGGCGAGCACGTGACCCAGACATCACGGGGGCTCTGTCAGTGTGAAACCAAAGAAGAGAACCTTCCATGAGGTCTGCAAAGGCTAACTCTCCCTCTTTTGTCTCATGAGCAGGATTGAGATCCTTGTCCCTTCACCTTAGGTTGGAGGGTCAAGGAGAATGGTGGGGTCCCTCTGCCTTGGGATTCATTTCCTCTTGGCTTCTTCAGAGAGGGGTACCAAGAAATTCCCTTCACCCCTCCCACAACAACCCTTCCTCCAACTGTCTTTTCGCCTCCCACTCTTGTCCCCCAACTCTGGGCTGCCCACATTAGCACAACTTCCTTTGAGGCCTCTGATCCTAACCTAGAAAGGGGGAGGGCTGAGGATGGGTGGGTGGCGAGGAGGGAGATACTGATACCAAGCAGAGAGAGCTCAGCCCCACAGGAGCTCAGGAATCAAGGGTGTGTGTGTAGCAACGTTTGGAGACATTTGTGGTGCTCCACAGTGTTCCATTTTTTTCTTTTCACTTCTGTCTGTGTCCCCTGCTCTGTCCCCTCAGCATGGAGTTTCCTGTGCCATTCCAACTGGTTTGAGAATCTCAGGAATGCATAGCCCTGTGCCCTCTTGCTCCCCCACCCCCAGCTCCGGACACAGAGCCCCTGTAGAGGTGGAACTTAGTTCAGGCTACAGGCCGAGGCCCAGGGGGGAGGGTCCTGCTCTTGTACTGGAAAAGAAAGACAACACACACTCTCCACCCTTCCTCCCACTCTCTCTCTCCGATTTCTTCCCCAAAATCAGTCTGCCACTCTCAGCTTCCTCTTAAAGAGACTGGCCTTTCCCACCCTCACCCCTCACTGGGGGCCTCTCTTGATGGTAATTACTCCTAATTGTTTTCTCTTGGCTCACGAGGCCTTTCCTTGCCTGCCCTGAGCCAACAGTTCTGTGTCTGCTCAGAAAATAGGCTCAACTCAGACTAGCGGCAAGCCTCTTTGGGTCTCAAAACCCAGGCTTTCTAGATCTAATTCAGAGGGCAGCTTTGACCATGGATATGCTGTAAAGAAAGGCTGCTGCTTGGCCTCTCTCAAGGCAAATTGTGGCAAGAAATAGTGATCAAACTTGAGGAGCATGTTCCAGCAGCAAGACTCCTGGAGAAGCTCTAAGCATTTCCTTCCATGAAGAGCTCAGCAGCAGAGATGATCTACTGGGGCCTGGCCTGGGGGACGGGACTCCTGAATGGGGTCTCTGAGCTCTGCAGCTGTGGCCTTGGTGGTGTGGCATTTCCCATCTTATCATCCAAGCCCTTTCTCCACCAGAGGACCACCCCCCCACCCCCAAGAGCCCCAGCCCCTTACACCATCCTATGGCACTGGGGTGAGGAGGCCTTTCGCCAGAGCTTGAGATGAGACCATCACAGTCACACACATATACACATGCACGCACTCACATAAGCATGGAGGCTTTGTGTTGCTCCCTCCTCCGGTACCCCCAGCTTCTGGATCAACACCAAGGTAACTGGTGGTAGGAGGGAGGATGAGGGTGAGGGAGGGGGACTGTGGATGGTGGGGGTGGACATACACACACGGCCCCTTTTTCCCTCAGTAGAGCTGCTGACCTTGATTTCCAGAGGAAGGTCCTTAGTGGTCCAGGGCTCTTGAGAATCCTATATGCCCCTTGGAAAAGGATTTTGGGGTGTTAGCCAGAGAGAACGGACGTAAAAATGTTTAATTAGTTAATTCAAAAATACTAAGTGGCTGCTATATGCCAGGTCCCTGTGTTAGGTGCTGGAAATGTCCTCAGTCTCCCAGTCCAAGCACATAACACTTTGCTCTAGTCCCGGCCTAAAACATTTTGTCCCCAGGCCCTGTTCCTGGCACCACAACCATCAGCCTGAGCCTCTTTTCTCCCCACCCTCCACTCCTCCCTGACTCATTGCTACTTTGCTCAGCTGCAGAGCACATTTTCTAGTGAGCACAGAAGCCTCTGCAAGAAGGGGCCTGAGGAAAAGACCACAGAGAAAAGGCCAGTTTCCCTCAACATAAGACCTCCAGGGGAATCTCAAAGATGTGCTATAAAGGGTCCGAGCTCAGAGATTTCCTTTAGATTCCAGGGTAAGATGGCTGCACCTTCTAGACCTAGGTCTCTCCTTCCTTCCTTCCCACGACTGGATCAAGGAATCAAATTAGGTTTGTGGGTTTTTTTTTTTTAATTTTTATTTTAAGTAGGCTTTATGCCCAATGTGGGGCTTGAACTCACAACCCCGAGTCACATGCTTTACCGACTGAGCCAGTCAGGCACCCCCCAAGTTAGGTTTCTATCAGAATATCTACTTGGGTCTAAGAGCGTTCATTTATTTACTTATCCACCCACTCATCTACCCATTTGCTTATCTATCCATCTATCCAACTATTCACTCATTTATTCTTTTAGGACCTACTCTGTGTCAGGCACTGGGAAGAGAGGGAAGAATATGGTATGGTTGTTGGTCTCTGTGGGCTGTGGGCCTATTCTTTGGTCCCCAGGGTATCTCTCTATGTCTCAGCTACTGCCTCAGAAGCCAGATCTCCCTTCTTCCCTCACATGGGGTGCCAGGCTCCAGCTGAGGAGGTCTCCCAATAGGTAACTAGGAGTCCTAAACCAGAGGCCACGGGTAATCAGGCGCAGTCAGGGG